AGCACCAACCACTTGGCATTGCTACAAAAGTATCTATCAGCCCCCCTGCTTGTGACTATGCCATGTCTTCATGATCTTTCAGTAACTCCAAAACACAAGAAAATAATCCAAAACACAACTCAAATCTGCAGCAATAGCCTTCTGGGCTAGAAATATATTTCCATCCCCGATCATTCCAGTTGTAGTTCTTCGATAATCATAGCGATCCAATTGCCCCCCATCCTAGAGCACCATTCATTGAGAAGACCATAGGCAAAAATGAAAAACAATGCCACCCTCGTTCTTTGATCAAACACAAATGAATCGAAATCTACCGTTCCTGCCCCACACTCGTCACGAAATTACGACAAACTCAAAATCTCCGACGTGAAGTGCCTTCGTGAGGAAGTCAGCATGTTGATACGCTGATACCACGTGAAAAATCGAAATCCCCTTCCTGCCTACCAGTTCCCTGATAAAGTGGTGCCTTATGTCGATGTGCTTCGAATCACTGTTGCTAAACGGGTTCTGCGCCAACTGAATAGCCCCCTGGTTATCCTCGAACACCGGAATACACGGCAGACCTACTTCTGGCAACATGAAACGCCATACCTGCTCCAGAAGCAACACTTCCTTCATCACATCCGCAAGGGAGACATACTCCGTCTCTGTCCTGCTCAACGTAACGCACTTCTGCGTCCTTGAAAACCAAGAAATACATCCTTCCCCACACATCACCAAGCCTCCTGGCACAGACCTCCTATCGGCAGCCTTGCTTGCATAGTCTGCGTCTGCGAACACCTCCATGCTCAACCCTGCTACACTACCCCTCCTGAATGTAATCCCCAAGCCACTAGTCCATACCACATACCCCAAAATACCAAGACCTGCTCTCCAATGAATTTCTTTGGGAGAAACACAGTACCGTGCTACCGCTCTTACTTCATTCGCGATATCTGGCCTCGTTTGCCTTGCCAGCCACATCAGTGATCCTATCAGCTCGCGAAAAGGCCATGATACCACTGCTTCATCCTGGTCAAACTCTGAAAGCTTCAGCCCTACAGGAAGAGGAATTTCCTTCCCGTACTCTACCCCAAACTCCATCCCCAACTCTTCAGCGTACGTCTGCTGCGAGCTCTTCAAAGTGCCTGCATCCCAATCCCTCTCATCAAAACATCCAGAGTACCACCTCAAGTCACCAAGATTCTTCACCGGTACCATGGTGTTGAGGTCCCTACCAAATTGGTCACACCTCTCCTCCTCTCCAATCGAAAATATGCCATCCACACGTACTGCCAGAGTCACTACCACTCTTCCCTCCTCGATCAACCGAAACACACACGTATCCGTTGAAGAGCTCGTGCGGCGACTTGTACCCGACATTTGCCTTGGTCGGAGAACGGTTGAAGCCGCCGGTAGCCCAGTCACGACTCTAGCCAAAGTCGCTCGCCATCGCGTCCGAAGCCGGTGACGCGGGTGAAGTCGATCTTGGGGAACAGGCGGCGTGCCTTGAGACGAGCGGCGTGGCCGGCCTTGTTCACGCGCAGAATCGCACTCTCCGCCGGGCCATTCTTGTGCGGGGTGCCCGGCGCCGTGTACGTACGGCGGATGCCGGCGTTGTCGCAGAAGGCGATGAAGTCGCGGCCGACGAACTCCCCCCCGTTGTCCATCCGGAAAGAACGAGGGACACCGGTGCCACTCATAACGGCGAGGAACTTCATGACGAAGGCGAGGGTGTCCGACTTGCGCCTCATCCCGTACAGCTTCATCCACTGCGAGAAGCTTCCACGAACATGATCATGAAAAACGACCCCCCCAGCGAGGCCGTCATCGGNACGGCGAGGAACTTCATGACGAAGGCGAGGGTGTCCGACTTGCGCCTCATCCCGTACAGCTTCATCCACCGCGAGAAGCTGTCC